GAAATGTTGGTCGAATCTTTTTGGTGCCTTGATGTCGTTGTCTGCTCTTAGTGCGAAGCCGATCAAGCTTCTCAGGATCTCGTCTTTCCATTTCTTCGAACCTGGACTCTGGTTTTAAGTTAACTAATTTTATACCTAATTTGTCTGAGTCAACATAAGTTTGTGTATTTTATAGCTCATTAAGAAGTTGATATTTTTTTGGCTCAAAATGGAAAGTTTGGTATTAAAATGACCTTATGAGGATTTTTTTTCTAATTTCAAAATGACGTCGTTTTGAAACTTAACCGATAAAGTAAACGGTTTTTTAATAGCTGTAAAGTTGACTAATTCTATATCTAATTTGGCCGAGTTAACCAAAATTTAATATTCTTTTGACTCATTAGAAAGTTGATAATTATTTTGACTCAAAACGGATAGTTCGGTATTAAAATGACAGTTTTTCCGATAGAAACAATTAACATCACTTAGTATAACCGTTAGAAATACTAACATCGTTTAATTGACTCACAAGCTAACATCATTTTTTGCAATTGATACATATTGACTTCGGTTTTAACAATCGATGTAAATATTTTTCTATTTTCACGATTATTGACAAAATGATAAGAAATATTTGCATCACCACTTTCAGAGTATTTTTTTAAAATGATGCAATAATTCATGTAGATCAATTGTAAGTATTTGCCTATTTGCATCTATTATTAACAAACCGATGAAAAATATTTGCATCACCATTTTCAGAGTCATTTTTCAAAATGATACAATAATTCATGTAGATCAATTATAAGAAATACAAATATATATAATAAATGATACAATTCACCTTTTTCTAGTGCTTAATTGTGAACGGATGCATCAACGAAGTGTAACATTACATCGCACTGATATTTTGATAACAGTTTACTATTAATTTGAGTATTTCCATCTGACTATAATCACTAGTAGAAATAAATTGAGAAACCAACCCATTGGCATTTATATGTTTAACATCAATGATCAATACATGTTGATGTTGTAAACGATTTTTTTTTTAGTTTAAGAGAGAATATCAAGCAATAATATGGGAATAAGCCGCATACATATTCATCGAAATAGTAAAGGTAGAAAATAAAGTTCTTTTTTTTCTGTTGAAAGGCACTGAAATATAATTGTATGGGAAAAAATACATTACACGACACGAGCCCAATGATCTAATAGTGTTTGGTTTATACAAATCTTAGTTGCCCAAAATAAAAGTCCGCAAAAAATCCATAAAGAGATGGTAGTGATCCAATCAGAAATACCACGGTCCACGCCGGTAAGGAAATTTGTTTGGTGGATGAACCGGATTGTTAGACCGAATCAGTAGGATGTTGAACCTTAATTGTCGTACCAACAGTTTTTTGCATGAGAATGAAGGTGACAAATTTAGTCGAGATAGAATAATATCTCAACTACGTATCTCTAGATACCAGCATCCAAAACAATTTATGAGCTACAATAAATGTAAAGTGAAAGCCTATCATATTACATTTGAAATAATACGAAAACAATGAGTGTTGTGTTTAGTAACTCTAATGAAACGAACCAAAATATTACCATATACGATCATAGTTTTGCGAATTCCAAAAGAAGATTAATTAGTCTCCAAGAAGGTAGGCAGGAGGATCATGGAGTCAATGCGTCTCAATCCTCTCCACATTCTAGAAGATAATTAGTGATTTATCCTATTCAAATTCTAGAGATATGTTTTTGTCACAGTAAACCTAATTAATAATATTATTTAAATTGTTGGAGGTTGTCATCGTCGTAAATTGAAAGGCTACATAACATTTACTATTTAATTATACTATTTATTTAGCTAGAAAAAAGGAGAAGATGACTTTCTTTGACTCCTCTTTTGTCTCTTTTTACGAACTTTTGTAAACAAATCAAAACCAAAACTGACACAAAACTCCTACAAAACACGTGCTTTCTCTATTACCTCTATCTCTCCCTCTTCCCCATAATTTTCATTCAACGGTATATCACAAAATACGACTGCACTTTTGGCTGCCTTGGTTCTTCTTTTTTATTGCCTTTTTATTGTATAGTATTTTGTTGATTATATTTATAGCTATTCTAATTTGTTTTTTCTTTATCAGCGTTTGATTCTATTTTTCTGCAGAAATTTGAAAACATATTTATCTTTGGCCTAACATTTTGTATTTTCGAAAGTATAACTGTGTTCTCTATGTTTCCCTTTTAATTTAATCCCTTTCTCGTTGCACCAAAATAAATTAAAAAAAGTTTCAAAAAAAAAATAAATTAAATAAATTAAAAAAAACTTAAATTATTTTTTCTTATATGAATTACAATAATTTTCTCTATGAACGAAATAAATATATAGCTCATGAATTATTATTTTTTAGTCTAATCAAATTGTTTGCGTATCAAAAACGACCAAATTCGACCCAACTAAAAACAATTTCCTCTACATAAAATTTAAAGGTTTGAAAATAAAAATTTTCGTACAAAAAAGAAAGACCTGTTTTTACAAAGATAAAGAGTAGACAAACTGAATATGGTAATATATTTTTTGTTCTTCGAAATCGATTTCTATTAATTTTTTCAAAAACAAAAAAAAGCGATTTCTATTAAGCTAAAATCTAACCAAATGATCCAAGTTGCCAAAATCTAAAGAAAAATAAAAGTCCTAATTTTTTCGTCAAATAAAATCTAATTCAGAAAAATTATTTTTATCAATTGGTTGTTCAAACTTGTTTAGTTGTTAGTCGTTGTTCAACATTATTCAAAAACATTCTAACGTTTATTATGTACGAAAGCAACCTCATATAATTTTTATGCGAAAAATAAGGGATATTTTAAAATATTTTGGATTCAACAATAATCACAAACAATATTTTCAAAAAAAAAAAAAATAATCGCAAACAAATTGTTTTAGTGTTTTCAAGTTGTTGATTCATTGATTCAAACAAACAATATTGGAAACAATGGC